TAATCAGGAAGCTGAGAATAATTGCTCCAATGAAAAGCCTGATCCACTGTCCAGTTTCCAAACCTTGAGGCAGCTTTCTCACTAGAAACTTGATTTCAGAAGAGTCTGGGTTTCCTGGAAAAAGGACCCTGCAACAATAGGCAGGTGGGAATGCTGAAAATTCTACCAGTCCTTCTCCAAAGGGGCTGATGGCTATTTACTCGAGTAATGTGAACTGGGAAATGAGACTGCATAAGTATCCTGAGGAGTGTTGGACCCAGAATCCAAATTGAAAATGATATCAGAAATCTAAAACATCATCATGATACCCCTATTCACTGGGGGGAACATAGAAGCAAGGTTACAACGGGTTCCTAGCCACGTTTTACCTCACAGTGGGCCCACTGAATCAAGAAAACCACCCAATCTTCGCTTCTTTGGCCTGTGCTTATATAACCTAAATAGGTATCAGTGGTAATCGGCATGACCTTCATTCACATGGAGTCCTTGGCCTGTGTTATAAGAGCAATCAGTGGGGAAGGCCAGTCAGAGGCCCCTAAGACAGCAGGGAACACAGAAGGAGCTAGACATTGAGGTCAAGAGGGCCAACACCCCAAATCTAGCACAGTATTGTAATACAAGGTAAAAATATTTCCTCTTCCATTCTGTCTTTTGGCACAAAAGCCTCTAAAATGGAATTGGAAGCACCATGCATGAGCTGAGCAGGTCAACGTGGCTGAGGACTTCTGCTTTGGGAAATGACTGATGTGCTCTTCTAGACATTGATGTATTGCTTAGGAACAATAGCTATTTACTTTAGCAAAGCTATTTAATATTAGAGTAAAACACCCCAGTCAGCCTACTGGCCTCTTTCTTTCAATAGCTGTTCTCAACGTAATCAATGACTTTTAATAGCTAGACTGAGTTATCAGCATAGAAGAGTAAGTGCATTGATTTGACATATACTTTTCCTCGCTGGGCAACAATTATTGCAATCTGAATTGTGCCACATTAGGCTAATCTTGCTAGTTACTTAATGCATTCTGGCGATTGGCTTCAAGAAGCTTTATAATCACATTGTTGACTTGTGAGTTAACAATTCTTTAGATTCCACTGAGAGCTATGAAGCAGTCTGCTTATAAAAGGTTAAGAGAATATGACATCCAATCTATCTCATTTTTGTAAGGGTAAATAAATGGAAATTCTACAAGGATATGTAAATCTTACACATACTTGGTATTCTACTTGAAAACTAGTATATTTCTAAAAGAGGAAAATCATCCAATTTTGATATCTGTAACTCCATTTAAAATGCAGACTATTTGATTTCATAAACATTCCTAAAATTAGAAATCATTAAAACTATTAAAAAGATACATCTCCGTTTTTGATTAAAAATGTGGAAAAATCAAGACTTGGAATGTCATTAATACTATTAACCTAGGAACTAAACTAGCTGCTTAATTTTAAACAACAATATAAAGAAGGGCAATGATGGCTCCAGTCAGCCAGGGCAGCCTCCGGCTGGGTGAGGGTCCTTTGAGGTCCATGCAATGACAGGTTCTTATGTGCTAGAATTTAGCCGCAGGAGACATTTGACAGTCCCTTGTTCTGCTGTAAGTACTGTAGAATTTAATATGATTGCTACAATTAAGACCTGTATTCCTTTCCTATCTGAACCTTTCTCCTTGTTCCACTCATTCTTTCAATCTCTTATTCAACAAATAACTACGGCACTCCTGCAATGTGCCAGACCACAAATCAGTCCTCAGTGATACCATCGTGAATAATACAATGATAGAAACAAAAGAATTTTCTCCTTACAGCTAGTTCTATCATTCACAGTTCTTTTCAAATATAAAACTTGATTGCTGCCACAGGGAAATGATTATGAATTCCAAGTCTACCTTGATTATCAATAATAATGGATATTTGGGGCCAAATTCTCAGCTTGGCTTATATTAAGAGTCTATTGGGCTTTTTTCAAAAATCTTGTTTGCCCAGATTTTGAAATATTAAAATTTCATATTTTAATGTAGAGACTAACACTGCAAATTTCAGAATGCCAGATAGAAACAGATTTGGTTAATATAACATTTTATTAGGAGAAAAGTATGCTTAGTTTTGCCCTCTTGAGATGCTGAAGTCCTCACTAAAATGATCAAATGGCATTCTATTGGCACAGAAATCCATATGCAGTAATACCTGTATAGGTTCATGAACTTGGGATTGTATGGAACTGTCAGAAGTACTTAAAACAATGGACTGACCCCAGACTCTGGAATAAAGTCTATATACATTTTACTATAATTTATGAAGGTACAAATCTATATAAAAACATAGTGGGGTTCTGATGTAAATTCCAGTTTCTTCTTACTAAGGAACCAATGAAAGCATTTTGCTGATATGTTTTCTGAAACAGTCTCTGTTCGGTCCAGTCTGGATTCTATTATACTTCCATATATTTCTACTTCTATGTCAGTATAACTTCCAGGTACTACTGATGAAATTTAATTCACTTTTTATCACGTACTATCTCTTTTGGGATAGGTTACCACTTTATATCAGAGCCTTTATTTGTTTCTATTTGCAGAAAGTTCTTGGTCTTTGCTTCTTCAAAGGTTCAAAGCACCCTGTAAATATCATCTTCGTCCACAGATTTCTATGGATGGGTGCAAAGCACTAGCTGTTCTATTAATCCAGAAAGACTGCTGTGAATCTGTTGGCCTCTGAAGTGGTTTCTCCACTCTGAACACTTAATCTTAAATCCACATTCTCTGTTACAATCCTTCTTCTGTGTTTTATGGCTCTGGTAGTAGACATGGAGTTATTTTTTACAACTATTTTCTGATTAGCTTTAAAATACACACACACACACACACACACACACACACACACACATATATGAATCTCCACATCTCCACCTTTTCCCCTGAAACTTTTCCCCTGAAAGTATTTATTATATAGGACAGAATTTGAACCATAGAATAGTGGAAGAAACTTTACACTAGTAAGGGTAGACTAAACTATATCAACAATGACAGCAAAACAATTTAAGATTATTTGATCACACGAACTCACTGGAAGTTTGTTCATGCTAACATAAAGGTCCAAAGCAGGCTGTGCACCGTGGCTCACGCCTGTAGTCCAGCACTTTGGGAGACTGAGGCGGGAGGATCACAAGGTCAGGTGTTCAAGACCAGCCTAGCCACCATGGTAAAACCCCATCTCTACTAAAAATACAAAAATGAGCTGGGTGTGATAGTGGGTGCCTGTAATCCCAGTCACTTGGGAGGCTGAGGCAGAAGAATGGCTTGAAACTGGAGGGCAGAGGTTGCAGTGAGCTGAGGTCACACCACTGCACTCCAGCCTGGGTGAAAGAGCAAAACTCTGTCTCAAAAAAAAAAAAAGGTCCAAAGCAGGTGATCCCAGTTGGTGGTGGCTTTCCTCTCTTGGCTGTTCTGCATGACCCTTGGGGAAGGTAGAATCACATCTTAAAAAAGGCTCATGACTGAACAAGGAACACCAGAAGCAGCAGCCACAAGGACTAAGGACCTCTGACTTTTCCTAATTTTATGGGCTGTGTGGGCCTCAAGGCTCTAGTATGACTCTGAAAGAGTTGGGAAGGGTCTCTGAAAAGTGTCAGACACTGGAGTCTCTTCTACTGTTGAGGAGTGAGGCCAGAGCCTGATTTTATTTGATTCAGAAAAACAAAGACAACTTGAGTTTTATAGAGCCATACCTGATACATTTACCTAAAACATGATTTATTTCATTGTTGTAATACAAAGCTACCAAATTCAGACCCTTTAAGCTTCTGCCAGCTTCCTTTTTGTCTGCAATGATACGTAGGTCTTTTACAAGGATATTGGTGGTGCTTGCAACATACGCATATTCTTAGAGATACTGTGTGGTCTTCTCTTTTGCTCCTTCCCCATGACAGCTGTGGTCACATCCCTTACCCTTCATCACTTCTACTATGGGTGGCCCTACGCCATTTTCTTCCTTCCCACTCACTGTTCTCCTTGATTCTATCAAAAGTCTTCTTTCTCCTTCTTCAGATATCTAGCTCTTATCCCCTTCACTCCCCTTGCATCTTTCTATTCTCCTATCTGGGCTTGGTCTTCTTCAGGCAAGCTGCCCTTTGTCAAATGCTGCAGTACCTCTCAGAGTCACCAAGCTACCAACGGACTGGGCTGTTCCATTTACAGTTTATGTAAAGTCACATTGCAAAGCATGCTCCATTTCTGGTGGTGGAAAGAGACATTTTCTGATTCCATTCTCACTTGAGAAAGTATTATCTTAGGATAAATAAATAAAAATGATTAAAAAAATTAGTTACTACGCCATGACATATTACCCCTTGCCTGTAGGTGGCACTCCTATGTAACTACTCATGGGCAATAGTGTGCAGCTTTCCATGTAACTCAGTATTAGGAGCTTCATGGTAAAGACTCATGATGGAGACCTCAGATCATAAAAACCAACAGCTCAATATTTGTTTCCTGTATCTGTGGTATGGTTGGGAGATGAATATCTTTATGGCTGTAATGGTCATTTGGAAGACTCATTTATTGATTTTTCTTTGACCTAAATTCCAATTGGTTTTTGCTATAGTGTATTTTTCAGAGATAATTTAGTTTTACTATGTCTGGCTCACAAAATACATCACAGGCAATAAGGCATATTTTCCTGATAAATGGTTTCAGTTTTTCTTTCAACTTTGCTGAAATTTCTGAATTTTCACTTATAGTCATTTGGTGTATCACGAACCACAGGAACAAACCTCAGTATTTTGGAGGTGGGGTGGGATATAAATGTTCAAAAATCTATCAGAACCATTACATAATAATATTCTTTTAAAATAAGCATTGTCTGGTTGGTAGTAAAATCAGTGTGTAATACAGCAACAGCAGCTACTATCAATTGAACATGTATGTGTCAAGTCCTGTGCTCAGCACTTTCTCTGCATTATTTTATTCAATCCTCACAAAAATCTTGTATTCAACCCCATTTCACAGATGAGAAAATATGCTTGAAAGACGTGAAATGACCTTGTCAGCATCACCCACCTAGAAAAGGCCACGTTGGAATTCAAACTCAAGCTGTTTCACTCCAAACATCACACCAATTGCTACCTCACTACTTCCATGAACTTTTTGTGCTTCCCAGCTACTCTACCCTTTGGAGTTGAATTTTGGATATCTATTAATGAGTGGTTAAGCCTATTTTCTTCTCTGCCTATTTGTTCAAAGTATCTGTGGTGTGTGTTGGTGGGAGGATGGTAGCATAGCTTTATAATTCAATTTTTTTAAATTCAAGGAAATTAGAAATGATTTTTAAAATTTGGGCCATGTCATGAAACAACATAGATCATAATGTTATGTTGGATTTTCACAGAGAAATGTACTTATGTATGAAGTTCTAGAAACACAAGAGCAGACCTTGGCAGAGACGGCTCTTGATTGAGGCTGATGTAAACCACGCAGAATGGGTGTTGGTCAAATTTTAATAGGACTTTGGGTGGTCCATCAGTAAGGTGATGATTTACTCCAGTATGACTAAAAACAACACAGATTATACTGTTGTTCCTATGTAAGTATAAATCATGCCTCTTTCTCAAAAATGTTTTGGTCTGTGCTGGGATATGAATGTCTGGGTCCCAAAATTCATATGTTGAAATTCTAACCCTGAAGGTAACAGTATTAGGAGGTAGTGTCTTTGGGAGGTGACTAGGTCATGAAGGCAGATACCTTGTGATTGGGATTAGTGTCCTTATAAAAGAGATGGCAAAGAGTGAACTCGCCCTTCTACTGCATAAGGTGACAGTGAGAAGATGGTCTCATACGGAAGTGAGCCCTCTGCAGACACTGAATCTGCCAGGACCTTGATCTCGGACGTTCTAGCCTCCAGAACAGTGAGAAATAAATTTCTGAAGTATATAAGCCCCCCAGCATTCTGTTATACTTCCTCAAAAAGACTAAGACAGTTTGGTAATTTTTATTGGCATCCTTTGCATGAGCAACTCCTTCCTGGATAAACAAAGATCATTATTCTTCAGGATCTGGCCCCTAAATGTGAAACGTTAACTTTGCATTTCACTGGAAATCAAAGTCTTGTGCAGACAACAAGAGGAATTTGCAGGGTTGTCAGCTGCTCGCACCTCTGATTGAGTTTGGGAAAACAGATCAGTTCGAAATCACTAGCCTCTCAGCGAAAACTGCAGGATGATCAATTTCAAATACCACATATCTCAGCAAGCAGACGTTATCTACACATTCGTTTCTTCACATCCTCTTCTCCACATGTTCCCGTCTCCTCACTCAAATAGCTTTTAACAATAACTCCAAGAAGCAGTGGGAACTAATGACAAGTTTCATCCCCTCAGTTTAATAATGCAGTCCTAATTCTCATGTATTCATTATCCCCCAGCACCAAACCATTTCCATTTGCACACCAAAGCAATCCGCCATATCTTTAGTGTTAATGTCAGCTTGATCTGCACTGATCACTTTCATTAAGAATGCACATTTACTGAGTAATGTGATCCAGAAACAGATGCTTCCTAAATAAACCACTCATTGTATTGACAAAAATACACCAGCATGAAGGTCAAAAGGCCTCGAGTTTTTTGTCTATCTAAGGGAAAAAAATAAATAATGACTAGTTTATTAATTGCGTTATTCATTCAACATACCCACTGGCTATGAGATGGACACTGTGATAATTGATCGAACCCAAAGATGAATAATAAAACAGGACAGACTCCTAAGGAGGCAACGGTCCGATGAGAATGTCAGAACCCCATATTTGGGAAGCTGGGGATCCAGGGCTTTGAGCCCCAGCGGGGATCCCAGAGGGCCTGGTCTGTACTATGGAAGGGTCCGCATTCACCCACTGAGCACAAAAGAGAAGCAGACTTGAGAGACAAAGAGGGCAGAGTTAAGAGATGAGTGGACAGTTCAACTGTAGCAATCAACACAAGGCACTTGATTACTTCACTAGGGCTGAGGAACAAAGTACCACTCAGAAAGTGGCTTAAACAACAGAAAAATATCGTCTCACATTTCTGGAATCCTGCAGGTGGAATCAAGTGTTGGTGGGTTGTTTCCTTCTGAGGGCATTCAGGGAGAATCTGGTCCAGGGCTCTCCCTTGGCTTCTGGGAGTATGCTGGCAACCTCTGGGCCTCCTTGTCTTGTGGAAGAATCATCCTGATCTCTGTCTTTGTCTTCACGTGATGATCTCACTATGTGTGTATCTTTGTGTCCAAATATCTCCTTTTCATATGGACACTGGTCATATTATATTAGGATCCACCCTAATGACCTTATTTTAATTTAACTAGTTACATCTGCAATGATTCTATTTCTAAATAAAGTTACATTCTGAGGATTTCAAACTACAAATGTTTGAGGGACACAATTCATAATGGAGTTGGACAAAGAGGCAGAAATAAGGTAGCTAATAGGGCAGAAACTGGAGATACCAAGGTAAATTTGGAGGCAGGGCTTGGGCAGAGTCCCCAAGGTACTGGCATGCAGAGTTCTTGTTTGTTGTTCAAATGGACTTGTAGGGTGCACGTGCAGAGAGAGGGCTGCTATGGTAAGGAGTCCATCCCAGTAGAGAGATGGACACAGCACTGGGTGTTAGAGCACAAGAACAAGACCTAATCTGGGCAGGAGAATGGCTGGCTTTACACTGGTTCATAGTCCACTTCATTTCTCCTTTTTCTTTTGATACCACAAAGCTCTGACAATAAAAAAGCATAGTTACCTTCACTCACTTTTTTTTTTTTTTTTTTGAGACTGAGTCTCACTGTGTTGCCAGGCTGGAGTGCAGTGGTGCAATTTCAGCTCACTGCAACTTCTGCCTTGTGGTTTCAAGTGAGTTGCTGGGATTACAGGTGCCTGCTACCACGTCCAGCTAATTTTTGTATTTTTAGTAGATAAGAGGTTTCACCATGTTGGTCAGGCTGGTCTTGAACTCCTGACCTCATGATCCACCTGCCTCGGCCTCCCAAAATGCAGCGATTACAGGCGTGAGCCACCACAACTGGCCCTATCTTCTCTTATTCAACCACCCCCAAGATCCTACATTTTAGAAGCTCCTTTTGGTAATACAGTCTACAATTATTTCAAATGCTTTAGGAAACCATTTGCCTTTACTAGTCAGTATGAACAGGAGAGTAAATGATGTTCAAACATTTATTGCCTACTATGTGAAGCTCATTTTTTTGTCTTTTTCTTTCTCTCTTATTTAACCTCATTCAAGTTTCATATGACAGATACCTCTTTTCCCAGAATTTTGTGTATTTCATCTTTGTGTTTTATAGGAATACTCTTTGTCCTAATATTCTCCAGTATTGGTACGTCAGCATGCCCTTTTAATCTTATCTTCAGAGTTTTTCTCAAATCAGTCCACTATGTCACAACTTCACTGCCATCACCATTATAGAGGTCAGCGGTTCTCAGGGTGTGGTCTCCAGATCAGGGGCATCAGTACCACCTGGCAACTTGTTAAACTCAAAGATATCTATCTTACCCACTCTGCTTATAATTCTGTTAAGTTCAAATTTGCCCTTTCTTAAATTTTATCTGTTTGTATTCTCACAAGTCCTGTTCTCTGTTCTTGTTGGATGCCCCCTAATCTTTATCCTTTGGATTATTTTAATTAGCTATTACTAAATGTTACACAATATTAACCAAGTGCTCACTTGTACTGTAAAACATGGGCTCATTACCAGAAGCTCACATGCCAGGAGAAAAGCAGACATGCAAAAACCTGTTTCAAAAAACTTATGGCAAGTGCATAATGCAGTTCTGAACCATAAAGTTAATATTTAAGCTGAGTCTGAAAGGAAAAGAAAAAATTCTCCAAGTAGAGAATTGCATGAGGGTATTACTGACAGAGGAACAGCATTTGCAAAGACACCGAGCTATGAAGAAAACAAAGATGGTAAGTTCAGCATGGTTTGGCTTTAGGAAAGAGAAGCCACTCATGAGGCTCAGGAGTGAGAGTGGATCTTATGTATACATAATAACAAACCTATTTGGATTTTACTCTGCACATAAAAAAGAAGCAATCAGAGCTTTTTAATCCTGCAACGGGGAGGGCCATATTTGAGTTTAGGGTCCCTCTGGTGGTAATAGGGGGGATGGACTAGAGGAAGGAGAGAGGCATGAAGCCTATTCAGGAGGCTGTCATTCCTGAACCTACTCTATGTCTTTCCTTTTTGACTTACATGGAGGACACTCTGGGCCAGTCCTTTTTCCACTTCATGCAAGGTGATGCCCCACAGTGGCTTCCTGTCTCCTCCAGGTACTCTGCGTGCACTTCAGTCTTACTCCTTCTGGAACCATGTGGGCTCTGTGTTGCCAATATTTTCTTGAGCCCGTCGTGCAACCTGTCACCCAGTCAATCTCATCTGGAGTCACTTCCTCCCTGCCATCTTTAGACTTCCGCAGTTACAGTGGCCCCACTGACTACAGAATCAGCTATTCACCACTTCTGCTTTTTAAGACTCTAGTCAGCCTGTTTCTCCACGCCTATTTCCTGGTACCAGTGAAACCCCAACCTTTTATACCTGGAAAGGACACTGAGCACTATCTAACTTATTTTGTAGATACAGAAATTAGTACTTAAGTAAATGAATGATGTATCCAAAGTTACACCCCAGGCTGGTATCAGAGGCAGAACTAGACTCTTTCTACCACAAATTATTTGTTTCCTAAAGGAGAACATTGTAGAAATATGCACATGTTGGGTAACCTTGCAGCAGTATGCATGGTGACTTACAACTGATTATTCTACTCATTGTTAATTATATCAAACTACATAAATTAAGTGTCATGATCATTCCCAATTTACTGACACTCAATTCAGAGAGATTGAATGACTTGCTGAGATTTCTACAGCATGGACTGGCTGAGAAAATCCCCAAATGCAAGTAAACTCTGATTCCTAATCCCATGTCTTTTTAATCACACTCTGCAGCTTTGCGTGCCTCCCATGTTATAAATAAGCACTCATATCCTCCCTTGAGCTCATGACTTGTGGGTATCCTGAGTTTTCTATACCTAAACACTAAGGGATAAGGATTTGTAAGTATCCATTCACTGGTTTACTCAGCACATTGACTTAAGTAGATGATCAACATCTTGATTAAAAAGAATTGGAAATCAGAGGCTTTTGAATAAGTAAGAATTTGATAAATTATAATAAGCCCATAAAATAAGGAGAAGGGAATAAGAATGAGAAAAATAAAATTAAGATGGAATTCCAAAATACTAGGTAAGGGGAAGTTGCATAAATGCAGTGAAAATTACAGAGAACATCACTAGAGCCCACAATGCAACCGAAACAGAGCCAACATGAAAACCAAGGCCCAATGATGCCTGTGTTTAAGCAGATCCAACAGAGAGGCATGTTTACCATTACCCTCTACCAAATCCAGGCATGAAAAAGCACTCTCAGAATTTCCACATTGCTTTATATTTGAAATTCATTCTACCATTGAAAAGTTTGTTACTTTGCTGCACCAAGGTCTCTATTTTTGCTAATGACAATTTTACTAATAATAGCAACTGTATTTGGTGAATGCTTACTGTAGATGAGCAGGAACCGTGTGGTGTACTTTATGCACATGAACTCACTGATACCCACAGTCATTGGTAGTGTTCCCATTTTTTAGGTGAAGTTGAAGCTAGAGAGGGTAAGCAATTTCAGTTAATAGGTCACACAGTTGATAGGTGATAAGGCCAGGATTTGAACTTGGGACTGTCTGAATCTATATAGCCTACACTTCTGCAACTAAAATCTTTTTTGGGAAATAGGTTTGCATGGGAATTGGTATGCATTTTACTTGTAAACCAACCCTCTTGCACAAGCATTCTCTCCAAAATGATAGCAGGTAAAGAACATAGTCTGGTTCCCACCTGCATTCAACAAATATGTGTGTGTAAAACTAGGGAAAAAATTCCTTAAAAGGTATTATGTTGTGATTTTCTTTTCTTTTTTTTTTTTTTTGAGATGGAGTCTCACTTCTTCACTCAGGCTGGAATGCCATGGCACTGTCTCAGCTCACTGCAACCTCTGCCTCTAGGTTTCAAGCAATTCTCCTGCCTCAGCCTCCCGAGTAGCTGAGATTACAGGTATCTGCCACCACGCCCAGCTAATTTTTGTATTTTTAGTAGAGATGGGGTTTCACCATGTCGGCCAGGCTCGTCTCAAACTCCTGACCTCAAGTGATCCGCCCGCCTCAGCCTCCCAAAGTGCTGGGATTACAGGCGTGAGCCACTGTGCCCAGCCGTGATTTTTTTTGTACTGTTGCCATGTATCTTTGCATACATTAAATTACTGTTTTTTTGTGCATATTTGATGTAGCAAAATTATCATCAGGGTGGTATATTTTATAATAAACATCAATAGTATATTAAAATATAAAACTGATTTTAAAAATAATACAAGTAGATGTATTTGTTTTTCATCATGTCTCACGATAGTGCCAGAATGTGGGGTGCATATTTAGCTTGACCCATGCATGTGACCTGGCATCATTTCTTATTGTCAAGGATCCTTGCTTTGTGAAATGAATGAATGTCACAGGCATAAATGAGAATGATGACATGGGTTATTGATTTCTGAAAGTATCTAAGATGATTTGCAATAAAT